TATTCATATATTCCCTCTTCAGGCGGCCGCCGCTGTGCTGCCGTCCACATCGGAAGCATCGGATGATGATGCCGTACCGAAGCGGCGATCAACTCGTAGAACAAGAAGCCGCATGGTGAAGGTAGGGGAGGAGAGTTGTCGATAGGTAGACATGTGTTGGTGGTCTTAGGCGGAAACGACGACGACGAGACGCGGTGGTGGGGTATCGTCATCATCATCATCCTCTGAGAAGGACTCATTAGAGCATGGTAGCAAGCGTGGTCGACAGGGGTCTCGAAAGAGAGGGGCCAGCTCCGCACTACTAGCTACTGCAGCTAGCATGCCCTCAGCAGCACAGAGGTTGGCGGAGAAGTCGACCATGGGAGGACGGGAGAGGGTTGCCTTGGAGATGCTTGCGGCCCTACTACCACCTACTCTGGCACATGAGCTGTAGGGCGACCATAACGCCTGTTTTCGGGGCATCATCATCATCAGATACAAGACGATATCCATATGGTTGGCAGGAGGTTTCGAGGTCTCTACTGTATCCACCTTTTTGGGGTAGGAGTGGGTATCTCTCTGCTGCTACCATAATAAGCCCTTCAGGCGTATCCTCAGCCACCTCAAAAGCTGTACTACGGTACCCTCGATCGATGAAGAGGAGGGAGGGAACAGTCCGTCCGGTGCGGAAGCACAACAGAAGTATGATGCGATTTTCGATATATATACGGAACAAGAACGTAATGATGAGTCATTAGCGGAGCGAAGCGTTTCATGTTTACGTATTTTCTTATCGTCCAGGAACAGTACTGTTGAATCGACTACGGGAGCTGGACCATGCTGTTGTTGAAGTCTGCAATAGGCATCTCGTAGATCTTATCAATGGGGCTCTACTGAAACGAGAGGCAGCCAAGCAACGGGAGGTACGTCGCTTCTCATCCCCTCCTTCCTCGACATATTGCTCGACTCTAGGTTATGAAGGAGGCCCCTAAGGCGGAGGGTTGTCGGAGCTATCTGAATCATCTGTAGCATCTGGGTGTGGACATGGTCAGCTGTCACTTTGCTGTTGGTCTTAGGTCCTTCCCTGGAGAGAGTGCGGAGGCGGCGGTGTGTCGAGAACGGCTGCTTAGGACTCCCCCAGGCATCATCAACAACACGTGGATGGGGGTGTCACTTGGTGAGGTCATACCACACCTCCGTCACATCACGAGTTAATCAGGCACTGAGGAGGCTCAGGACTTCAAGTACTTCCGTCGGAACCACAGCGAAGAGGCTCTCTTCAACAATGAGGACCACAAGTACGCCACCACCTTCACCGTCAAATGCGTCTCCCTAACGGTACGGGATGATGCTCCCACTAATGCTTGTTCGCAGCCATCATTAGGTCCGTCGGCTGGAGGAGCTCCAGAAGAAGCTCGAGGAAATGGCTGAGGGGGAGAGGGAGGCCTACGAGCTGAAGATGCCACATGACATCACCAGTCAGCATCTCGAGCAGATCATTAACAGGTGGGGTGGTAGCTCTACGGAGTGCCGGGTTAAGGTGATGTTAGTTATACTTCTACGGCGATTGGGCAAAAGATGGCGGACGAACTCCTCCTACATCCTATGAAGACTCTCCCTTTACTGGTAGTCATGCTGATCCAGTCGATGACGGAAATACCATCATCTCAGGTAACACGTCTGAAGGAGACTGAGGCCTCGTTGACATCACCAACGAGTGGCCTCGTGGCCGCCGCCTCTAAGGCGTGGTTGAAGGTGGACAAGAGGAGCTACCTCCCGGGCCTCGATCACAGGAGCTATTATTTCCGAGGACACTGTAGGGATTATGATATGATCATCATCGTGGTCAACATTGTAGTGATGCAGGCTCGAAGAACTCCACCAGCCGAGCCTTCCTTACAGATCTACGACAGAGTGATAGCCCTCTGGGTATCGTAGAGGAGGAGAGGGAGTGGGCATCCTGGGGGTAGCAGACATCAGCTTGCGCTGTACTCGTTTATTCGAGCAATGCCGGGTACATCTCAAAGTATACGACTTGCCACCAGCGTACTCCATTCACGCAGTTGGGTGGTCACATCGATTCTCTCTGAAATGAATTGGAGATTAACGTAACGCTTAGTCCTGTTGCCTAGGCCTGAATGGTTGTCGAAGAGCGACAGTGGTCGCTACCCCATCGCTATTATCGGTAACGCTGCTACCTTCCAGAGCCTCCTACAGGATGGGGTCGCCAATGGGGCGGAACCTACAGCACAGGGGCCTCCTGTCCTGTTGTGCATGCCTAACGCTGAGGTGAGGTCGTTGCTTGTGGTCATCATGGAAAGGAGCTTCTATCTAGATTCATGAATTGGCATTGAAATTGGTGAAAGGTAAGGTTGAAGGGAGATGGGCCGAGGAGCCCGTTGATGGTATATCGATTGATGTGGCCCTGCATACTCTCGAAAAGGTAGTTAAAGACCAATGAAAAGATGCCTATTTGGCCTCTTCAGATTCTACAACCTTTCCTACCAGCCTCCGCTGAGCTCAAGAGTTCTCGTCCGAGTAATGGGACTAAGATCTTCGATGATGTTACTACATTGAAGGGACAAGAACAGTCAAATAGCCGACCGGTGTTCCTCACACAGACTCAGTAAAAGATGTTCCCTTTAGAGTGGGTATTAGTCTATAGATACTCCCTTTTACGCTACTATCACATCATCTACTCGAGACTCGCTCGAGCTGCCTCCGACATAGCACGTCTAAAGAAGCAGTTGGAGCACAAGCAGCAACAGCAAGGTCAAGAGGAGTCCATCACGTCCGAGTCGCCACAATCATTACCCGGAGCCGGAGGAGGTAGGGGCCCTCTTCACCCTGCTGCTAAGGCATTTGTCTCGATGCTAGATAACAGTACGCTGTCTACCGATGGCAATAACGTGGTCACCACGGTGCCTGGCTCACAGGGGGTGGACTCACTTGTCAACAGCATTGTGGAGGTGAGTCTGTTGGAATTTGCCTCGCTGTTACTATCGCTGAGTTTTATCAGACCTTCTTATCGTCATCGGACCCCACGGGAATGGGTGGTTTCAACAACATAGTAAGAGAGCACTTAGGCTTCAATAGAGGATATTACCTCTACACCATGCCTAAGGTGAGCTTCCTACTGGGGGCAGGAATAGGAATATTGATCTAGTACAGGTTTTGGCGAGAATGTCAGAAGCCCTTCAGTTGGTATGTCTTGGTCGAGCAGATGTGGTGAGTAAACGGAAGACTTCTGATTCTGGTGAGATCCGGACTGGCCCAAAATCTCCTGGCATTAACTCTTCTTAGGGTCACGAGTACCGAGGAGGGACTCAGCTACCCAACGGTTATTTGCACTGAACGAGTCCATACAGTCGGTGGAGTTGAACTCTGAAACAGCTAAAGAGCTGTCCATCCTTGGCCTTGAATGGTGAGGTTTATGACGTCTCTCTCGTGTTTAGTGGATGCCTTAGTTATCGCCACTACAACTACTACGATGCTGGCCCAGACCCTGAGGGCCTCGGTGGGTCTATCATAGCCGCCAGCGTTCATGACGATGGCTGGTTCTCTTGCTGTGAGCTGAAGGCATGATTATGATGACGAATATTCACAATTTGTCTATTATCGATTATCGAAAACGTCCGAATAAATGTTATCATTCCCTTCTCTTTGTACATTTATTATCAGTCATAGCACCTACAGCCGTCACCACTACAAAGGGGCGTACATTGATTATCTATACTATTCGCATCAGCCATAGTAATCCCCGAGACAATGATTGTCAGCTATGCTATTGTGACGTTGTGTTGTCAGCATTCCCTACTGCCCTAGTCGAAACAAGTAAGACCTCGACAAACACAACGTGAAGAACTTCCTTCCTACGATCTTTCTCGTATCATTATAAATCAGGGAACAGGGAGAATATGGATATGATTCAACTGCCATTATGTTAGTGATTTGCCCATTGAGATAACACTACACTGGATATCATTGCACGAGAATGCCTTCCGAGGCTACCTGTTCATACTTAGCCGACGAAGACTATCTTCATTATAAGCTCAGCTGCAGGAATCCTTCAGCCTAGAGAGACATCTTGTGCTCTACGGGCGATTGGGACAGCGACAATGATGCAGCAGCATCTTACAATTATGAAGAGCTCCCCGAAGACTCCAAAATGGCTCAAGCGTGTCTGAAATTTACATGCGCCGAGAAATTACAGGGGTTGGGCCCTTATTCTGATCGTTCTGTACTACAGAGTCTGTAGAAAAGCAACTGATTATTGACATCGACCGAGTACTAAGCAATTCCAAGAAAGAAAGGATCGTCAGACGCAACTAGTCGATGACACCAATTGATAGAAAATGATCAACCCATCAAGCCTTGGGTTACGACGATAGTACCTCACGTGGGGATGGTAAAGCCAGTAAGGACCACAAGCCAATGGAAACTTACTTCAATAATAACTGTCTTTTACCTTGTCTTATTTACCTAACTTTACTCTAACTTGCAATACAGGATCTTGTCTACTTGCCTTCTTGTGACAAGAATCTTGTCTACTTGTCTTTTTGTCTGCATAATTCTCTGGTTAATAGACTCTGGTTAATGGTAACCAGAGTCTATATGTACGTGACAGTGTCATGTAGTGAGTAAGATCGATAAACCTCAATCTCGAATTGGAGCTCGCAGTTTCGTTGCATTGACTTTCTTAACGCTCCGTTCGCGAAACACAATTTCACATTTCGTCTGATGTTAAAACATATCAACGTAGCATGTTCGGTCGTGTGGTCGTCCCATGTCACGTTACATTATACGTGAATATGTATTCAACGTGAGTGTTGATAAAATTCTGACTACGATCTCGCTAACTCACGCTTTAAACAACGGGGAAGTGAGTCAAGCAAACGAGCTCCGTAGACTGAGGGGTGTGAACGCCCAAGAAGACGATGCACCACGAAGGCTCGCCCCAATGTGAGAGCGTACGATTTGTGAAGCAGCGGCCCACTGTTACCGAGACAGACGTCGCCGTCCCAAGTAGGCGAGAACGACTACTCCCTGACGCGGCAGGGTGACGGTCACCCGGTGACCTCGCCGTGGCTCTCCCAGATGCAAATCCTTCCACTCCTTGCCGAAGAATAGCACGAGTATCACCGACCGATAAGCCATGATTGAGTATAGCTGCTATACTATAGCAACAAACGTCAGCTCCAAGTAGCGACTGTCATTGCCGCTAAGAAGACTACCGTCCATAAGCCTCGTGCGAAGGTGATCTTCCGCGGAAGCCACTGTAGCTTTGATGATCCGAGACGTAGCAAGTGTCCACAATGGAGCAGGTAAAGCTCCAGTAATAGAAGCTAGTCGAGAGTGCCAAAACAGAGAGCTGAAGAGCATTCCTTCAGGGTAGAGGTTAGGGATGGCATGAGTGCCGTTTCGAGATGCTATAGTCTGCAAGAAGTGGGCCGATCGAGCTCCATGCGACAGTGGTCGAGAACGGTGCTTGAGCAACCCCAACTCGGCATTTAGCAGAATATGACCGGGAGTAGTGCAATCTGTGGTAGTCGTAGGACGGACGATCCGTCTCGAATCAGCAAAACAGGTTAAGACGACCCTTGTTGTGCTCGATAGGTAGCGCAGGAGCATCTTCAGCAGAATCGCTACTATATATATTATCTACCAATCCAAAAGCAGGTGGGTTACAGGCAAAATTTCCACTGTGAACGAGTTCCCGCAGTTGCGTATCATTTTCGACATATCCGTCGTCATCGAAGGATTCACCAGAAGAGGATTCACTGGCTGGTGATAAAGGTTCATGGGATTGTTAACCAGATCTGTCAACGGCTGCTGGCTGTACACATAATGAGTCGCTGAGTCTCACTTGCGTCGCAAGTCTTGCGACGAATGCATACACAATCGGTCATGAAGTTAGCCAATTCAGATCCAGTAGTCGAAGAACTTGCGGTGGACAAGGAGCTAGAAGATGCACCACACGATGAGACCGGCGACACAGAAAACACTCGAGCGGGTGATTATGGTGGAGTAGCCCCACGGGACCGCAGAAGATGTGAACGAGTAATGGATCGATGCTGAGCATGCACTTGGGAAATGCGCTGATCATGTATAACTGCCGCATCGGCGCTCTCGTCCGAGTCGGTCCGGTCCGACGATTCAGATAAAATACTGTGGAGCACGTCAGCATCAGTTGTTCGCTGTATATGTTGAATGAGATGCAGCGCTGTATGAGAATCGGCTAAGCTGATCGCTGTTGAACCCTCCAATGCATGTAAAACTTGTTCGTCAGCTGGCAATGCAGTAGGAAAGCGAATCAGAGAGTCGCAAAAGCCTTGACTCATGCAACCATCAGCCAACAATCCATAGACCAGGGCACGGATGTCGAGTCGATACGCAACCGACAAACGCTCTTGTGGATTGGTTATATCCGAATCGTGAATGTCAAACCGTCTTCTACTCGAGAGGAAAAATGACGAAAGACCTGCAAAATATTTCATTTTTTAGAAGAACGTGCTACGCATCTTGGTATCCGCCTTGTACACCCCGGCGAGGTGTACCCAAGTAGGGCTCGACCCAACAGTTGAGTCGAGATCGATACCTGATCATCAGGTCCTGATGGTCTCGATGAGACTATCAAGCGTTGTAGATCAGTGAGGAACTCAGCCGGAGACTCGTTAGGCCGAAGCTTACCGTTGATGAATTGATGCGAGCTCTTGAGAATGTCAATATCATACCGGTCTATCAGCACCGTTCGGACTCGGGAATTGCGTTCGAAGAAGAAACCCCGTTCTCCAGAAGTCGGAAAGGAGAGTCCATTGATACCGACCTATCGACACGGTGTGGGAATACCACGACTGTTAGAATCTAACAGAATGCTGTGTTTTCCAGGCAGATGAACTGGTTCTATCAAGGAGCAGAATGATTAGGACGACAGCACAAGTGCTGGACTCCTCTGAATCTGGGCGCCACCGGACGTACTACGCCCCGTCTACGCCCGACGTAAACGAGTAACAGCGACTCAGAGCACGGACGCGGGATGAATTGTCGGAGAAAATAACCAATTCGTCGGAAAAGGACATTTTCGGAATAACCATAGATACAGTGACCGTATTACAGGCAAGCATGCAGCTAAGAGCTCGAGTGCAGCCACGTCGTCAGTCCTGGGGTCAGAGTCTGACTCTGACCGTCAGAGGCATGAGGAAATGAGACCGTCGACCATTCTTCGGGCATCTCGGATAAGGTAGCGTAGAAATATCTAATATCGAAACCACCGGTATCTGCCGACAACAATCTGACCCAACCTCTCAAGCCGAGTAGAGAGGCGTCAGATGCACCGACCTAGGCAGTGCTCTGGGCGGAACCAAGTAGGGTATATATCAAGTCGAAGATACGGATTCGCGGCGAATCATTCGCCGCAGCGAAAGATTTACTGAGCAGACTGTTCTCTGAGTGTATGACCTATGTTGACATATTTTCTACCATGAGCCTGGATGTGAGCAGCTCCAGCGAATAAGGATGTCGAATAAGCACCCAGAAACCATCCCGCCGAGAACCATACGCGTCTCCCGATCAGCCTGCAGGCCACACGGATCGAGAATCGACCGGAATAGAGGACGAGATCGATGTCCCTCTGAATCATCTGGACTTTGCCTGGGGGTAGCGATACAAACGGCGGTACTGACGAAACAAGGGCCTCGATACCATTGCGTAGGTTCCTTCTTTTTCTGATGTAGAGCATCAAATTAAGCGCGAGATTAGATATACTTCCCCAGTGAAAGTTGCTATTCTGGGGGGGGGTGATTCCAACACGTGTATGGTAACAACGTGGACAAAATTCTTTACCACTTTTCGACTTCTGATCAACTACGAACAGTTAGGCCGGGCCTAAAGAGCATGAGAGCATACCTCCCTGAGCCGCAATATGGTACTCGTTGAGGGGACTGTGCACGAGCCGAAAAACCGAATATTCTCAGAATATGTGGAGGGGTGTATTCACGTGCGCCGAAAGATCACGAGAGGCCCAAAATGTTTACAGCGTAAAAATGTCGAGGAAAATGACCTCCGCTTCTCGATCACCCCGTATGAGGACAATTGATCGACGGCCTCCCATACTATCGACCCAAGACGACACAGAGGTTGCTAGAAACCATCCCTCAGTATCCATCATCATCAGAGACGTCACTCGGATGCTCGCTGACAGCATCACTGTCTTCATCCTTCTCCGGTACCGTAGCAGTGATGGTTGTATCGGCCTCCTCTATATTCGACGTGGCCTCACCACCGGTGGAAGCCGACTCGCTGGGCTCGAGCATCGCTACAGTCTTTCGTAACCACTCAGCGCGGGTGCCGGCTGAAGGCTCCTCCTGCTCGGAGGGAGTATCTTCTTTCCTCATCCTCTTCTGTGGCTTCATCGACTCGTAAAACTCGGCGCTTCGGCTGAAATAGCAGCCATAGTTCATCGAAAGGAGCGCCGTTGATACTGTACTTCTCGGTATCTCGAATTCCAAATGTCCCCGCCCGGCGCAAGGCCGAGTCAAAGTTGTCAGCATTATCATCAACCCCCGGTCTCCGCCTGAATATGTGCCAAGTGAGCTCCAAAGGCTTGTCGTTGAAGGGTACGCCTAGAGGCAGCGGATGGAGAGATAGTAGTAGGACGGCGGTAGCGTACCCTGTAAGTGGGAGAGAGCACCCAAAGCGTTAACGTGGTCCAAGAAGGTGACCCTGGCCCAGAGGCCCCGAGGGGACACGAAGACCTCTCTAACAGAGAACAACAAGTCACGTGTACACTATGAGCGAGAGGTACCGACCTGTCGGGGTCAAGTTTGCCGAACCTCGAGAAGAGTTGACGGAGAGACTCTCGGGCTTCAGGGCGCACGCCAGCTATATGGATGCTGGTAGCCTGTAGGATCAACTCCCCTGAGGCCACAGACTGAGGCCAACAGCCTATCGAAGCTTGCCACCACTTACCCATCTCAGTGTCTTCCAAGTCCCCTGGCTGATACACTGGTCGGATGACGAGGCTATTTGAAGGGCCCAAAGGCTCAGGAAATATACACCTGTCGAAGAGGTCGTCATCATCGGAGGTGCTAGGTCGGTTCGACCTACCCGAGGTCCGCGGGTTTCCGATCCTTCGCCGACTTCTTCATAACGGCCTCCACCTCTTCTAGACAGGAGTAGCTGTGCGCTGATGAGTCGAAGGCCACCTGATGGAGCCAGTCATTTCGTGGCGTAGTGACGCTGAGCATACAAAGCCGTAGCCCAAGGATTCAGTGTGGCCTTGGTCGTCTGGAGGTGTCCGAATGACCCTGCCTACTCGGACACCCTCGTACTTGCCCTTGAATACTTCAGTTCTGAGGAGGAGAAGGGTAGACCGGCGAAAGACATGCTTGTCGATACAGTTTGTCAGAGTCTATCGTAGGGAAGAGGTTGCCGATGTAAACTTGATAGGACTTGTCGATACAGGCACCCTCAGTGATAACCCCAACAGTGTCAGGGCGAGCGCTCATGGTCACTTGCCAGCCCTCGTTGTTAGAGGACCCTCCTCGCTTCTCGAGGGCCTCTGCTGCCAAGCCGGGTGATGCGAACCGTATGAATGCATACCTGGAAAGTACAGGAGGATGTGTGGAGGACTACAGCAGTCAGTAGTACCCAGTGGGCTTCTGGGTCTCCGAGTCCCGGTCAAGTCGGACATGCAATAGGCCCATCCCTCCGAAGACCAGCCGAATCTGCTGTTCGTCGACGGTCCTGGGCAAGCCTGTGATGAGGAGGGTGTCGGACTTGGTGCCGTCGGTCGACATGTTGAAGATTCAAAGCCTGCCTCTTGGCCCGGATACAAATCAACTCCACTAGGGCGACAGATAGAGTTCACGTAGGAGTTCCGTTCTCCTGCTTTTTAATGGTAGTAAATGTCATATGTCGGAGATGCGGTGGTTGATGCGATGAGGTTCCCCGACCCGAGGGCCTCTCGAAGGGCTGCTCAGCCAAGGGCAGCTCACTCGTCGCAGTCCTCTTGAAGCGAGCACCGCACTTCCGGCACACCCCACTGGAATCGTTACAGTAGATGCATAGACAAACACTGCAGACGTAACCTCGATCGACCGGCAGGCCATGACAGGCACACAGTGAGCCCATGTCCAGTAGCCTAGCGCTGGGCCTGGTCTTGAGGACCTCTCTCTCCCCCAGGCTCGGCACGGAGAAGTGGAACATGAGCGACTGGAAAAGGCCTCCCACTGTACTGCAACGTTTAGAGGGGATATGAACGCCCCTAGTGGCCTCGCATAGCTGTACCAATAGGGTAGCCGAGGTCGGCGATGCATTCGATGATGAGGAGGAGGAGCGGTCGTTGCTGGGGCTGCTGCTTTGAGGCGTCCTTCCAGGGCACACCGTACAGAGGTCGATGGGGACCCGAAGGTCCTGGGCAGCCCATCCACAGTTGGCAAGGGGCACTGCTTCGGAGGCATAGTTCGCCTCCCCATAGACGCTGACGGCCTCGACGATACAACACCGTGCCCTACCCGGGATGGTGAGATGCTTGTTGAGGTAGCACAGGGCTAGAGAGAGGCCGGCGGCTATCAGGGACGAGGAGGTCGTCGTCGTCGACGGCCTTGACCTCTCCTTCACTGAGGCCTTTATGAAGCCCACCATGGCCTCCCATAGGGCTGTCCGGTCCATCTCTGGCCACGATCCTTTCAGGAGGATCTTCGCTTTAGTCGGTGACACTCCTACGATGCAGACTCCCAGGGAGTCACCACTGGTGCTGGCTGCACTGATAGCTCCTACTGTGAGGAGGAGGGCCGAGAAAAGGGCCTCGAGGGTCACCGCCCCTGCCGCCTTCTCCTGCATGGCCTTCTCACTAGGAGGTGCCTCCACCTTAAACGAGGCGAGGGAGTAACTGGACCAGACCCAAGGGTTGAGGTCGAGGACGATGGCGACCAAGTCGGTGGTCTTGATGTCCACCTCACCAGCGGCTCTACTGCCAGTAGCGGCCTCCTCGGTGGAGGAGAAACCCTCTACCATACTGCTACTACTACTACCAGTGGCCATCTCAATACTGACAGATGATCATGGGCTCATACTTATAACGCAACACAGTATTCACAATGGATCCAGGGCCATACCATCCGGAAAAGGTCAGTAGCAGACCTGTAGAGTGATGCAAGCAATTGCCTCTACTGGGACGGGTGTAAACCACAGGAGCCTACCTCTACTACCGATAGTAGGGGTGACAGAGAAGACACTAATCAAGACAGATAGCAGCTCAACCTTATTAGACCAAAAGAAAAGGTACTGGTAATGGTATGGTGTTAGTAATGTACAACTCTAGTCCTCCTCCTCCTCCCTTTTAGTGTAGAGGTAGACATCAATGATCTCACGACAGTTCCTTCCTGAACGACAGGCCAGGTCTGATGGAGATCTTTCATCTCGAAGTTGTCGGAATATTCGAATGAAGTCCTCACGAGGAACACTGTTGGCTCCCAAATCCCGTTTATATCTACCAAGCGAGTCTACCTCTTCCGTATCATCATAACACAGCGACCTACAGCATATCCATCCCTATGTCCCACATCTGGGCCAAGCCTTCGTTGGCGAGGTAGCCCCAAGGGCACACATCTGGACCGAACCCGAACCGGGGCAATCAGAGTCGTAGAACCCGGTGAGGGAGGTGTAACTGAAGGCGTATCTTGAGGTCGCCATGGGAAGATACGAAGTAGGTTCATTTCAGAAGTATTCTAGTGATCGTCTGTGAGACGTGAATACAACACACAAATATCAAAGGTCGACTTGAAAAAAGATACAAAACAGGTCCACTATGATACCATATGCATCCGATATGATGCCCTATCATTACCATTTCCCTACAAGGCATCCTAACTCCCCCGCGACCAGCTCCTTGGTATCGGCCCTCCTCAGCTCAACAGAGTGTACCCCTACCTTATCGGTGGTAGATGAAGAGGATGTCGAGGAGCAGTCAGAGGAGGGCACAGGGCGACCTCCGCTGTGCCTCTTGGGACTACTACCAAGACCCTCTGGATGCTGGTGTATCGCTTCTGAAGTCGATCGACATATGTCAAGATAGCGATAACTGCCTCACTAAGAGAGTTCACTATAGGAGGGTACAGCCAGGCTATACCGTGTTGACGATGACAACGCTCTACCACGGCATCGAAGTCAGTGTCGAAGGAGAGCTCGAATCTGATGATGGATGGTTATGACCGCGCGCCACGAAATTGGGGGCCCTACTGTCCCGCCTTCTTCCGCACTTTCTTGTGTATGTGTAAGTCTATGGGTAAGTGCCTTATGACGGAGCGCTGCCGATGGAGTTTGGGCAGAAGAAGATACAATGGGGTGGCATGGCTAGCATCGTCCCCTCCACCTATGTCGGTGCATATCGGGAGGAATCCCTGATGGTATCACAAACGACCTCATTCGTATCTTTCAAGGTCAACCTCAAGATATTACCTCGTAGAAAAGTCGTGATAGGAAGGTCGGGTGAAAACACAGAGACCAACAGAACTCGCTCATGTTGAACCTCGTCACGGCATCTGCCATATGCTGACAGAGAACACTTAAAATGCCATCGACTAAATGGTGGTGATGAGGGTCACCTGGAGGTCCATATTTGGCATGAGCAGGAGCCTTGAATGGGAGGATGATGCTTCGGGTACTAAAACGAAACCCTGAACAGGCTCGGTGAGAGAGAGGGAGAAGGTGAGGCAGACTCACAGACATCTGGGCTGCTATCATTAGTATTAATTCATCGGTGGGTATCCTGCTGAAGGGTGATGATGGTGGACTAAGAGAGCTGTTTCCTATCTTCGACTAAGGGATACTCTACCTAGGTGCATAGGGATCCTCCATGTCACGAGCCCTCCTCTGCAGCAAAGACCTCCGATGCTCTCTTGGTACCTCCGACATCCATAGGGCTACTAAACTCCATAAGATATCCTCCGAATACACAACACCCTTTACGTCTGAGGAAACGACACTCACTACTGCGAGTTAATGATACGTAGGAACGAATAGGAAATGGACAGGTGGAGCTCAAATAATTCAGTTTATATTACTACCACAACAACCGTTGAATTATCGTATCGTACAAGGAATCGACTCCTCAAGATGACGATCAGGTTGCTGCTGATGTATGATGACGCTGATCGTGATAGGATATACCCCGCCGACAGAGGGCATACATCTGTGAGCCAAAACCCATCCCAAGCCCCACCCGAATTGATCCCCATCCGATACGAAGAGTCGACAATAGGGATCTGAACAGGCACAAGAGGGGAAACAGTAGTGAGAAATATGTACAACATGAATCGCTTCGCTCCGCTAACAAGAGGAGTAGTAGTACTAGAAATTACGAGGTGAATAAAGGAATTTACTATAATGCAGCTCAATGGGTCATAGAAGGATGATTATGGTAATAACGATGCATAGCCTTGCGGCCTATACCGTAAATTTGGGAACTCATAGCCCACCCTAGGCCGAGCCTGAGGGACCCCCAACCGAATCGACACGTCAACATGAGGGATCTGAGGAGGTGGAGATTACCAACAAAAATGTCAAAAAGAGCATCAGAACAGCTAAGTGTGAAATAGCGATTGATACTCATAGGACGTGGAAGAGGTTACTCGAAGAACCAACGAGGTAATCTATATCGACACACTCGAAATGGACGTCGGACGATGATTTCAAAGTGGAAATGAAAACAGAGCCGTCCGATGAAATTCTCAACCGAATCGATACTCCCCTCCAATGGAAGTAATGGGAGATTTGCGGGAGGAGTGGTACGAAAAATGACCATCCCAAACCCTCTAGTACTACCCCAGCCGTCTGCAGAGCTCCTTGGACGAAGCCATGAAGCCATTACCGAGGCTCGGACCAGCGCCGATCAAGCCTTCAGACTCAAAGAGAATCCTCAACCATTGCGAGGTCCGTCGAGACACTTCCGGCTGAGCAAAAAGCAGATGATGGACCGGAGGGAGTGGAGGCCTACATGGGAGTACTCCTGCAGTCGAACCCAATTGAAGGGAGAGCTGAGCGCCGTAGCAACTATAGCGCTAATCATGTTGCCCAGGAAACCCCCGGCTTGCGGATCGTTGGAACGGACGTGCCTGATGACCATTATCAGTAGTAGTACTACCATCACTACTACTACTACTACTACTACTACTACTACTACTACTACTAGTACCTCATCGTCGCATAGGTGAGGCAAAAGGTAACATCCCGATACACTGTGGGTACACATCCACGGAATAATCCTCGAAAGCCTTCGGTCGCTCTTATCTCTGACCATAAGAAGTACCACCCCTATTGATGAGGAAGGGAAGACACCTTTGAGGATAGTGACTGCCGTAGCTGGATTGGAGTAGGCTTGAGGAGCAGTCCGCCATATTGAGAACTTCACAGCGTTGAACGGCGTCGTGAAGATGCCATTCGCGAGACCTGCTAGTGTGCCGGCGAGCCAGGCCCCTCCAGCTTTCTCGACCAGGGGGGAGGATAAAAACTGAAAAAGATGTGGTATTAGATCGCAACGAAGAGGGTGATACCAATTCCTCCATAGGAAAGTATAGTCCAAAGCTGACAGCCTTCTGGAGCACCGCCGGGCCGACGCCCTCAAAATACTGCCCTGGTCGTTGGGGCCAATTACGTCGGTCCAGGAAGCTCCTATGGTACCCCGAGGTATCCTTGCTGTGCTTTATGGTGAGATAGAGTGCTCTATCTGAGGAAAGACGGAATACAACTATAAAAGGGAGAGGGTACACGTGAGCACTATCAGCATCTACACTAGTCGTGGGGTGAGAGGGCAGTAGAGCCATTAGGACTAGAGTATAGACTCTTTATTACCATATGGATTGAATATTAAAGACTGCATGAGGCCAGCATTCAAACCGCACATCATGAGCCCAATGGGGTGTTTACTCTGACCATCCTTCGAATGGGTATACTCTCTAGCATACTTTAGGAGGGTCCTGTATGGTGACACACCACCTACACCACCTGCCGACTCATTTTCTGATCGTATTGACATATCCGGAGTAGAAACAAACTACACCCTTACTGCGCAGACGACTCAATACAACAATAGAAAATTGCAGAAACGACGATGACGACGACATATCATGGTGGCATCAATTTCGACCTGCCAGGAATCTTTTGTTTTTTCCAACATCGTTTATCCATAGCCTCTACCAAAGCCGCCCGAAGTTCGGACATACCGTGCCCGTCTTGTGCGCTCACACAGTGTACGTAGGGCCAGAAGGTAAGCTGAGGCCCGCAAGGACAAGATCGTTACTGTTGAGGGGCCAGGGGGTACTACATCGTATTCTTGCTGCCAGTACTCTATCCGCGATAAGATGGAGGCTACCTCCTCGTGAAGGGTGGTGGGAAGCACTCTGTCCACTTTGGTGAGGACCACCATCAACCTAGATTTTATATTCCTACGGTAGATGTTCCTATTAGTACCTCGGTGGCGGCGGCCCTTCCTCCATAATACTACGGTTCTCCATCGATCTAACCGTCAGCTTCCACAGATACTCATCGGTCGACTTAACCCCTTCAATGACGTCTATCAATGACACCTGTCAGGCTAGTATCTGTTACGAAGTGAAGGAGGAGTGGTACGATGATTACGACTAAACGTAGATTGTCAGCCCTCTCCATATATTCCCCCACAAGGGCCCTCCATTCTGCCTTCTGGTCAGCGTCGATTCCCTTAGCAAACCCCAACCTGAGCCACTCTTCCTCCCCCCCAGCTCGACCGTGGGCCTACCCTGGTAAATCGACTATCCTTAGGGGCCTACCCTTACCCTCTCTAATGTGCTCATCTCTGCCCAAGTCGAATGTGAACAGCTGTCTGGTCCGACCAGGAGTCTTAGAGGCTCTAGCGACCTGAAGATGTGTCGAAGGAGTGGTAGGAGAAGCCCTACCTGTCGACCGAACAACAAGCCGTTCACCAGACTAGACTTGCCAGCATTGGACCGGCCACAGAAGGCGACCTATTTGACTCCCATCAGCAGCAGCCCCCCCCTTCCCCTGGGCCCTACCGTTGGCACCCCATGCCCTTGCTGCAGTCTATGGAGACTCTGTCGTACCAACACTGGATGGGCCGCAACACTCCTTCGGAAGAACTCATCAGCCCCCTCCAGGTGCCGTAAGAAGGTCGCCTTGTCAGACCTTAGGGGATCTGAGGGAGTGGGGAATCTTCCGGCTGCGCACTAGCATATCTTAGGTCCAACCTGCTTGGATACGCCCTGTAGGATTCCACAACACTCCCGTGTTGACCACATCGAGAGGTATGAAAGGCCGAGCCAGGAAGGTCGGCGGCTGTTGGACCGGACCACCCTTACTGCTCAGAGAGGCCACCCCTGCTACACGACCTCGAGGCATGGATGCTCCTCACCATACGGGTAAGCACTCAATTCTTGCTCCACTTGCTTTTACTTGCATTTCCTCAACGGTCTGTCGTCAGATCTCGTCGTATATATTTGGTTTTTACTCAGCCATACTACTTCGGCGTATTCGGTCGGTTTTGATGTCTACGACAGAGTCCACAGGGAAGAACTTCATTCAAACTGCGATCGACCAGGACCTGGCTCCCGGAGGAAGGTATCTTAGGTTCAAGTTGGCAGGATACAGATTAGGTCCGAATCAGGTGCCATGGTAAGAAGATCGTTACTCGATTCCCTCCTGAGCCCAACGGATATCTGCATATTGGACACGCTAAGAGCATTTGCCTTAACTTTGGGCTGGCCAAGCAGTATGGTGGTACTTGCCACTTGAGGTATCTTAGGTTGCCCTTAGGAAGATACAAATCAGGTCGGCTATAGGTTCGATGATACCAACCCCAGTGCTGAGAGTGATGAGTATGTGAGGAGCATCCAGGAGGACGTCAAGTGGCTAGGGTAAAGTCCCTGCCAGGGATCGAACCTCTGCAGGTTTTGCCTCGTAGGTTCGACTGGGACGACAACCTCTTCTTCGCATCGTCCTATTTCGACCAGCTGTAATACTCCCCATCCCTCCACACCGACCTACCCTCCCTCCCTCAGTTACGAGTGGGCCGAGTATCTCATCAACCAGGGAGAGGCTTATGTGGATCTCCAAACCCCCGACCAGATCCGCATCAACCGCGGCAATATCAATACCCCCGGCACAAACTCTCCAAACCGTGAACAGACCCCCGAGGAGAACCTCCGACTCTTCCGAGACATGCGGGACGGCAAGTTCAAGGAAGGGGAAGCCTTGTTGCGAGCCAAGATCGATATGGCCTCTCCCAACATGAACATGAGGGACCCTCCGATGTACAGGATCCTCCATAAGGAGCATCACAGGACCGGCAAAAAGTGGTGTATCTACCCTTTATACGACTTTGCCCATGGGCAGGAGGATGCCATTGAACATATTACTCATTCTATCTGCACATTGGAATTCGAAAACCATCGAGAGCTCTATGACTGGTAGTAGGCTGATGATGTGTGAGAGTGATGGTACTGGCCCCTTGGGGTAGGTTCTTGGCACATCTACCAGTACCCTCCCGACCCCATCAGTATGAGTTCGCGAGGCTGCAGGTTACCAACACTATAATGAGTAAGAGGAAGCTGCTGAAGTTGGTGAACTCGCGTAAGGGGAGGACAACGGTACTACTCACTATGTCATTGGTATCTTTAGACTCTGTACGTGGTTGGGATGACCCTAGAATGCCAACGATTTCCGGTATGCGTCGACGAGGTGTGACCCCTAAGGCCCTCCGCACCTTCTGCCAGAAGGTAGGGGTGTCCACCAGTCTGAGTACTATTGATAGTGTACTCCTAGACGAGTGCATTAGGGAGGATCTCGAGGTCAGCAGCTTGTGGACCTATTCGGTATGAGGATGCCTTCCATTTCAGGCCAACTCCAATCGTAGAATGTGTGTGGTGAATCCAGTGAAGGTCTACATCGAGACGATGCCCGACGAGGAGGTAGGTCCCCATCGTGCTACCATTGAGTCCACTTTTCCTCTCAGCGTATCGAGGTGGAGGCACCGAACCATCCTGGGATGCCTGAGGCGGGTAATAACAAGATGTGTATCCAAACTTGATTTGCGCACAGCGAAGATTTTGGTGGAATCTTTCAGGATCCCGCAAGTTGTATTTGCGCAACCGACTTGTAATTGAATCGAGTGATTTCCGCATAGACCCTCCTGAAGGGTTCAAGAGGCTCTCACTAGGCGGAAAGGTAATACCAGCAATTGAACAGATCTACCATCTTCACCTAGGTGAAACTACGTTACGGGTACGTTATTAAGGCCGAGCGAGTGACCCCTGAGGGAGTGGTCATCTGCAGTCATGACCCTGATTCCCTTCATGGGGAGGGAAGCCTTCCTAAGGACGTCAAGGGCGTCATCCATTGGGTACTATCAGGCTGGTCAGGAAGGGTTCATACCACTCCTTTTCTACATCGTAGGCGGTCGATGCTGAGGAGAGTAATGAGGATGTAGTGCGGGGCACAGTCAACTGGTATGAGAATCTATTATTGCCAGAGTCGGCTCCCACTGGTAATCATTTTTGTGGCGCACGATCAGCAGCACTATTAGACTTTTCAGATGAGGGTGCCACCTCGGAGGAAGAAGCATCCATGGTACCTGGCACAGCGGAGGTGGAAGAGGCTGATAAGGATGGTAATGGAGGAGATCTGTTTTACTATTTTTGTATCAGTTCTATTCAGCTTGGTTATCCCAATTGAATCCTAACAGTCTTCGAGAGTATAAGGCCTACTTCGAGCCCTCCATGGCTGAGGCTAAGGTGAGCACGGTCCCCTATCGGTCTCCCCTCTGATGGTCCTCTTCAGCCGATGGAGACTTTCCAATTCGAGCGTGTTGGTTACTTTGTCGTTGATAAGGATTCCACTGCTGATCAGCTGACATGCAACCTTACAGTTACTCTCAAGGAGAGTGGCCTAAAGAAAACTGAGGGGAAGCATGCGGGGTAGTAGTAGTAGTAGTAGTAGTAGTAGTAGTAGTAGTAGTAGTAGTAGTAGTAGTAGTAGTAGTAGTAGTAGTAGTGGTAGTAGTAGTAGTAGTGCAAGATGGCCGTATCGATGGTCATTGGCCTCCGTCCCATCAGTCGTTCTCGTAAGGAGGCCCAAGCAGCCCAGCTAGCCGAGAAGGAGGCTAAGAAGAAGATCAGGCCCGAGGATATGTTCAAAGGTTCGTACCACTCCTCGTTCACTTCGGGTGTGCAAGTAGTGTCCTCAGAGCAAACAGACAAGTACTCCCAATTCGATGAGAGTGGCATCCCTACTCACGACGCAGCTGGAGAGAAGCTCGCCAAGAGTGCTTATAAGAAGCTCCACAAGGAATGGGAAAAGCAGAGACGCTTGTAATGATAACGCCTTTGGAATACTCCCCGACACATGGGCCATTTCGACAGGTACGAAAGCAACCACTGAATCCACACAGTCCTTAGCCGCTGATCCTTCATTCATCGTTAAGAGTTTCTTCTACGTTCCTCTTGGCGCCTTGTAGTTGGATTGCAATTCGTTGGAGGAGGGAGTTCAGCTCGATTAGGCCATGTTGGGCTCAAAACTGAAGCCTTTACCGACAAGTATACTCTTCCATAGGCGACTGTTCCTCGTCACTGCAGTCGGCAGTCCACTTTATGTGAGATTTAGTACAGTCGTGAATGGTAAGGCATCCGGGGAGTGCTTCAACGGCCACCATGCCACGCCGTGCCCCCTCCTACTCTTACCCCCAGCAGAAGAGGGAGACAATTCAGTTAAAACAGCAGTACGAAAGCATACATCTCGACGGGTGTTGGAGGAGGCCCACGTCGACCCTATACTGGCGAAGGCTAAGAAGGCTCTGTGGAGGCTTAGTGCTGTCCCGGATGGTAGGGCCTTTGAGAGGGTTTGGTCATTGAGTCTGATGGTCAGAGATCGTCGATCCATGTGATGAGGCGGAGGTGGTCCGGTGGTATGAACGGAAGCTGGCGGCTAAGGCGAGTAGGAAGGTAGAGAGGCAGAAGGAGAAGGAGGCACTTGCTACGAGGAAGATGATACGATTGGGTAATTTTGTGGCGCAGTGACGGTATCGCTAGGTGTTGATGGCGTCACAGGGAGGTTGGCCCTTCGTCAGCTGGACATGGGAAGTCTCCGTCCTCGTGAACTAGTGGCGAAGGCGCCTAAACTGAGGTCTCTGCTAGATCCCAATACCATCCCTTCCTCAACTGCAGAGGATCACGAGATGTACTACTTGTGGAGGAGGGCCTTTAGTCCCATGCTGTAGATACCGGTGGTACGATGAGGTTTGTCGGGTCCTTACACCAGAGGGTGGTGACCCTCCTTCAGTAGAGCAGAAGAGGGGGAGGAAGAAGAAGCAGCCAATGGAGGAGGAGGGCCAGTCGGTGGAGGCGGCAGCCCTTGCAACAGGATGATATCATGGCTCCACGATGACTACCGATAATTATTACTCTGGTTTTACTTTTAACCTTGCTGCTGTCGATCGATCCTCGCGTTGAGGCCCCTGGGGAGGAGCTCTCCTTGTCATCAGTTGAATGGCTTTGCTCTCTAGAAGCCTCCTCGGCCCCTCATACGCTGTTGGAAGGCTCGTGTGGGGCTGCCCCTCCTTGATGGGACGTAGCTTCTGTGCATCTCCTCAGCAGGCGTACAAGCCCTCCATGGCCTTGGTAGTAACCTTGGAGTACCCCTCCTGTTCGGCATACCTCAGGTCCAAGAGCTGCGGAAGAGGACGGGTGCTTCCATCAGTAAGTGCCGAGATGCCCTAGCCGATGAGGGTAGGCAGGCAGTCTTGCATCGTCTCCAACGTGACTGGTGTTGGTGCAGGTGGTGATGTCGAGAAGGCTATGACGTGGTTGAAGAAGAGGGGGATCCAATCAGCCAGTGAGAAGACCTTCCGACGGGTATAGAGGGTGGAAGGTAGGATTAACATGCGATGGTCCTCTGTAGGCCGGGGAAGGCGTGGTAGCGGCAGCAGTCCGTGGTCACTATGGAGCTCTGGTTGAGGTAGAGAAGGAGGCTCTCGCCTCGTCATGCTGTCATTGAGTAGATCTCATGCGAGACGGATTTTGTTGGTCGGACCCCCCTCCTCATCGAGTTTGCTCACACTCTAGCGGACTTGGTCACCGAGACGCCGTATCTCGGCTCTGATGTCGAAGGCCTCCTCGTGGAGGGCATGCTTAAAGGGTGGGCCTCTTGAGAGTTCATGTCGATGATTATCATCATCATCAGACCAGTCAAGGTCGACACTACCCTAGTTATGGAAGACCACCGTCCGAGGCAGGAGCTACAGAGCTTGAAGGTCAGCGATGCTATCTTGGAGATCAGCTCAATTCTGGGGGAAAATATCGGCCTCAAGCGGGTGGCCACTATAGGACATTCACCGGGTAAAAGACTGGCTCTGCGTTCTTTGGCGTTTATGCAACTTCCACGACTGTAATTTATCGAGACCATATGCTTTCAGACACCACTCCTCCCGATTCGCACATCTTCCATTACGTCCACTCAGCAATCAATGGCAACCAATGTCGGGACGTCGGCAAACTAGCGAGTCTGGTGATGGTGGGGAAGTCCGGCCAAGTAGGTCTGGGGACGATACCGTGTGGCTACTTGTCACCACCACAGGGAGGCGGTATGGTCGATGAAGACACCCTCGCCTTCATCGGTAAGGTCATCGCCATGCAAGTAGTGGCTAAACGACCGAAGTACATCCAAGTCGGGGACGTTCCTAAGGGTGGGAAGGCCTGAAAAGGAGTAATCGTGATGCGCTGTCGTAGATGTACTTGAGGCAGAGAGGCAGATAGGGAGGGCTGCCCATTTGGCCGGAGGAGGGAAGGAGATCCCCGACCAAGTCTTGGAAAATATCCTAGATGGTACTCTCTCAGCTGAGGGGGGGCGGGCTATTTTTCCGAGTGCGTGCAGGTAAGGCCGCCAAGATGCGTGCTGAAGATACGTTGTATGAGATGGAGATCCTTCTACCACCATCGTCGGGCCAGTCAGAGAATAATAAGGCTGAGACAGTTGGTGGGCGGAGCGTAGCGATTCATGTTTTGTAATTTTTATCGTCAGGAGAAAGGCTGCGGAAGCTTGGCTTGGTCGTTCAAGATTTCCGCTTTATGGGAGTGGGGTTGTGATGCATGGTACTGCGTTTCGAAAGAAAAGGGTTTCGGTGAAAGGTTGATAGCAATTGAGCTTCATAATACCACCGTTGAGGCCGCCTTCATGACAGTTGTAATTTATTCATTATGCCTTCCACCGACCTCAGTAAGTTCGATGGTGTCTATCTATCAGTGGCCCAGCAGGTGGGGGCCATCGAGCCTCTGTTGGACTCCTTCTTTAGCTTCCTTGAAAGGAAGACTGACTTCATGACGGGTGGGTGAGGGAGGGGTCTTCGGTTAACTACAATCCACATTTTAGGTGAGACTAGTCCCGGCGCCGCTCGAGATATGGTCACGAGATGCTTCGATAAGCATTATCAGATTGCCATGCAGCGGAAGGAGGCTGATGCTGTGAGGAACAAGTAAGACTGTGGCCCCTATGGTTTGTATGAGTAATCCTTAGGCGTGAGGATGAGGAGAGGAAGGCGCGGGCCAGAGCTCAGAGGAAGGCCGATATGGAGGAATATGAGGCTCGGAAACGTCGACAGGAAGTGGAGGAGGAGAAAGAGCCCAAGATAGTAGAGGTAGTGGTGGTGGAGCGAGAGGCCGGTCGAAGAGTTCAATGGTAGGTAACGGAAGAGGAGGAAGAGGCGATCAAGAAGGATGAGGCTATGAAGGTAGTCTTAGTGATGGGGGGCGGTTGCTACTTGAAAGTTGTCCTCTACAGGAGGCTGAAAAGGAGAATGCTGATGATGATAATACGGAGGAGGATGAAGATAGTACCCCTCCTCCTCCTGGCAATGGTGGCAGCACTGACAAATACACTTGGACGCAGACTCTCAGTGTAGGTCTACGGATGGTGGGGTCTCTCTAGTACTCTTACCTAGGCCGTTGAGGTGTACATCCCAGTGAGGCCTGGCACTCGGGCTAGGGACGTGAAGATTAGCTTAGGAGCCGACAAGGTGGGTATTATACCACGTTAGGATTGCTTGACTGTCGTCCTGTAGGTGACGGTGGCTACCAATGCTGAAGGGGAGATCATTAAGGGCGAATGGAATGGCCGTATCAAAGCTGATGATTCTATGTGGACTCTCGAAGACAACAAGATGATACATGTACTGCTCGGGAGGCCGCGCTCATGGCTAGTATCCTCTTCTTAGTTGTCGTTGGACAAGTACGATGGCATGCGGTGGTGGTCGTGTGTTGTGAAGGGTGATGCCGAAATCGATACGAAAAAGATCGTACCGGAAAACTCGAAATTGAGTGACCTCGATGGAGAGACCAGATCGACTGTGGAAAAGATGATGTCGGGAAGTCGCGATGTTGGGGATGTCGGAGGGCATGGGATCAGGTACGATCAACAGAGGAAGCAAATGGGGTTACCGACGAGCGACCAGCAGAAGCAGGCCGATTTATTAGAGAAATTCAAGAAGGCCCATCCCGAGATGGATTTCTCCAACGCTAAGATCAACTATGGTGGAGGGATGAACCTTTAGGAGTTTCTGCTATGATGAGGCTATTGCTCGACTTCTTTTTGGTAGGAGTAGAACACGTAACAGACACCCGATTGGATACAGCAGTGTTGTGTTCATCATAGGGGGCGTTACCTTTATAATGTTCTAACCCGGCGTGGCAATATTGCATACCCGCCAGCACATGTATGTCGACCATTGGAGCATTTCTTATCGGACCCACCCCGTCTTTGGGGCGGGCGTATGTCCCTGTTGCCATGAGTATGGGGCAATATCAGGAACGTGAGAGCGAAGAAATGACCTCCTTGGAATGATGGGAAATAATTTCACTTGTAACACAAGCATCAACCCATGGGGAAATCATGACAGTTTACAAGGGGTTCTGCCCGGATGCCGCAACTTCCACCCTGCCCAAAAAAGGGCTCCATAATTAGCGAACAACTCGCTACCTAAAATGGACATACTTCTTCCACCCCCTATGGTGACACCCTCACCCTCATCAATATCTCGTATTGCAACTATAACAGCGCAGCCCTCTTTGGGTCTCTTGTCAAAGTGGACATTATAATACTCCGCATTACGACAATCGTTTATGTACCTCCCAGGGGTATCAACATCATCCGAAGCGTCTATGTAACTGATGTACCATCGACTTGATCATATTAAAGAGCAGCAGCCTACAGGACACCCCGAGTCGCATCAAGTACATCCTGTCGGCTCTTTGGGTGGATTCCTCCTCAACAAGTGCCTATCCAGTATAGTAGCCCGAAACGGGAGGAGGCTGCTACCGTCGTAAAA